TCAGTGGTGGTGAGGGCTGAGAGCATCCAGAGCACTTTCTCCATGTGATTAATGGTGCAGTCAGGAGTGCAGAAGGCACAAAGCTCCATCAAAAAGTTACACACTAATAACTGAAACATCTCCTACCAGTCACTGAATATTTTTGCCATCTCGATGCTTTGTCAGATTGTATCCCTGTGTGGTTTCCTTGAGCCGGGTTGGAAACACCTGTAAATAAGTCTGCTCGTAGGAATGCGGACAATCCTTGGCCTGCAGTGGGAGCTGCTGCAGGGTTGTGCTACTTCAATGTAATGAACCAATAAAACTGCTGTGTAATGGTGTGTGCTGCCTTAAGATCCCTCCTGTTGTTCTTCCCAAGCTTGAGTGTCCGTGTGCAGGGATGGTTGTTGAGACATGCGAATGCAGGCTGTGCTTAGCATGAGGCAATTGTTCATCCTTGGTTTTAAACGACGTTGTAAGATAACTATGCAAATGTATTTTATTAAAGGGACACATAAAAGGATCTAGTTTGTCTGTTGTGGTTTTTTTGTCCATCTGGAGAGGATTTTTTTTCCCAGCTGAATAACTCAGTACAAGCGTTGTCTTGCCTGCCTCTGTGATGGAGACTTGGTCTTGCTTTTTACCTCTTGGAAACTGAATCATAAATTTCCTCTGTTGTAGCAGAGAGAGTAATCCTGCATTTACTGATTAGGGGAGATTGGACAAAAGTTTCTATTATTTTTCCTAGGGCCTGATGGAAACCACCTTTTCCATGGCCCCAGGTTTCTTGGATTAGTTCCTTTTGTGGGTTTCAATAGCACAGAGGCTGCTCCAGGCAGTGACAGGAGCGTGTCACAAGTGTTTTGGCCTTACACGTGCCAGCAGAGCTCGTAAGTGGCTATGGGTGGTGTCCCATGATGCCACCAGCTGCTCCCTGGTTGTACTGAAGGGACTGTTCTAATGCCAGCCCATGGTCCTGAAGGTGAGATGTGGCCTTCCTATGGCAGCTTGGGAAAATAAGAGACAGGGAAAAAACCCCAAGCCTTACTTGCTTTTCCGAGCCATATCTACTGGCTTGGGATTCAAACAAACAAAAAGCCAAACACAACCAACTAACCCCCTTATAAAAAAACACACCCCCAACCCTCTACACACCCCTATATTTTTTTTTAAATGTGGTTTTTATATAGTCACACACTCTTTTTGGTTTTGGAAGAGCTCTCTGATCTTCTCGTGTCCCCCCGAGCCCCGCGCTGTGGCTCTCCCCCCTCTACCCTCTCTTCTGGTGTTCTGTGTCCACATTTTTTTTGCACTTTTAGGGGTGTTGTGTCTCCCCCTTTTCTGTGGGCCTCTTTTTCGTGTTTTTTCAACCCTTTCCGTGAAGAAATTTTTCCTAATATCCAATCTAAACTCCTCTCTACCCCTAAATAGTCTTCACTGGTGACCGAAAGCAGTTAATGCCTCTGGTCTAGATAGATCCTTCTGGGCAAGTGCCTGAGCTCCTGTTGGAGGGTTAAGCTGTCATTTCTAATGTGTTTTTTCCTTGTCCATTGAGAGGGGAAGTTTGTTGGGAAACGGGACAAAGCATTCAGTGCCCAAGCAGCTCTGGGCATCTAGGAAAGCCTCTTATTCATCTGCTTTTTACTTCAGTTCTCTGGAATTGGCTTTTAAGTGAAGAATTTTAATTCACTCATTTTTTTTAACCAAGAAAAAAATGACATGGTGATAGGTCTCATTCATCTTTCTTTGGGGGATTTCTTTTCTTCAGAAAGTGTCACTCTTCCCCTTGAACGTGCTCAAATCCAAAATATGTCAGTAATTGGAAAGGTTTTCACCCCCAGCCCCCATGTTTTTCAGGCATGTGAATCTCCTCCAGAGCAGAACATCTTTGGACTGTGGAATGTGGCAGTGTTTCAGGCAGCGGCAGTTATCCTAGTAGGAAAAAATATTCCTTGTTCAGGTATATTTGGAGGGGAAAGTATAATTTTAAATACAACTGTAGAGACTGGGATTTCCTGTTTGTACACTCTCCAGCTTGTTTTGCCCTGCCCTGGTGAGGCAGGTGCTTCCTCCCCTTGGAGAGCAGGATTTAGCACAGAAGGCACCACAGGTGGTGTAGGCATATCTTTGTTGGTATGTCCCAAGTTTCCAAGGTACCAGACACTGACTGCTCACTCCAGTCAATGTTCTGGAGAAGGGAGCTGGGCAGGTCATGCTCCAGGTGGTCTGAAAGCTTAGCACTACCTGCTTTTGGTGGGAGAGGCAGGCTGGCTTCCCCTCCAAAGGTCAGGAAACCCTCTCAATAAGCAGAGGAGGTGAGTAGCTGCGATCCCCTCTGCAGGTGCTCCCAGAAATCTCACTGCTTTTCATGAGTTGCATCTGGAGCTTCGGATTAATCGTGACCAGACGGAAGCCAAACCAAACCAACAGCTTTCTGCTGCCAAACAAGACAGTTTTATTGCTTCCCTGCACATTCCTGGCTGCTAAATTAGCAGAGAAATACTGTTTTCTTTTCCCCCCCCTTGGGATTTGTTTGCTGCCAGGGTGTGAGCTGGGAGTCAGACAAGTGCCAGAATTGATGCAAGGGAAGGAGGGAACAGAAATGTGGGAGGAGAAGGTGCAGAGATGTAGGTCCACCCTTTCTGTACCGGTGAGCCCATGGGTTGCTATGGACGCTTTGGGAAAACATTGGCAAATGCACCAGGTAGGCTGGTTTGTTCTCTGGTCTCATTCCTTTCTTCCCTTCAGACCCAAATACCCGAATTCACCCTCTAAAATCAGATGTGGGGATCACGTACTGTGTTTTTATGCTGATATCATCAGACGTATCAAAATTAGCAGTGTTTTCACTAGTAAAAGCTAGTGTTTAAATAAAATTAAATAAAATATTAAACACAAAATAGCACTTGTCCCTTCATGCCAGAAGCTGACAGGCCAAATACAAGGTTAGCGCAGGAGTCAGTTAATGTAACTGCATTTTTGCATCTGATAATGAGCTTATGAACCAAATCTATTTTAATGCAGAAAAAGGCACGTTTTTCTTCCGGTGTTTGCTTCTGCTTTCAGTGGGCAGCATGGGACAGACCCAAATCCCAGCGTGTGGATTGTTCCAACAGCTGAGATACAAGCAGACAGGAGCTTCAGTCCATCCCTGCTGATGTGACCACGTGGTCAAAGCTGAGACTTCCAAATCTGGATAAATAAAGCCTGGTTACTGTGCAAACCCCTGATTATCTTAAAATGTCATGTCTTAGGAAACTGGTGAGCTTAAACTCAGTGCTGTACAGACTGAAGAGTGACAGAAGTAGCACACATTGGCCATAGACCGTCTCGATGGACTGAGATACCAAACTTCACAAGAATTACTTTGGTCTATAACTTCACTTCTTTTTCTCATCTAATTTTGGCCTGATTGTAACTGGGGATAACTAAGGCCAGAAGCAGCATTCTGCACAATCAAAAGAGCTGCAATCCCAGATCTCTTTGTAAAAAGTGGTGGTTTTGCAAATCTTGTCAGAAGGCTTAAGATCTGTGATCCTCCTTAGGGTGCAAAACAGAACTGAAAAGTCCTGATTTTCAATCTGGTTGTTGCCTTTGCTGTTTCACTTTTTTGTGTTGTTCAAAGGGTTTCCCTGTAAGAATACTTGGCATGGTGTCGTAAGTTCACTTGATAAGAGTTTCTCTTTTGCTGACAGTTGCTGCTCCTTCAGAGCAGCTTGATGCCTGTGAGGTTCCCACTAGGTCACTGTCTCATCAAGTTTAGCCAGACGTTTAGTGTTTCTTAATTTTTTTCCCCTCAAATTTATTACTAACTCCATTATTTAGAGCAGCCCTCCCATAAACAGATCTATACACCGGTAGTGAATAAAGCCACATCCTTGTGTCCCAGGTGTGTCAGGGTGATGGGGAGGCACAGCCCTTTCTGTGTAGGTCGCCCTGCCTTTCACACCACCTGTGAATTTTCATGAAGTGTTGTTCCTCTAGAAATGCCGGATTTAAATGAGTTCCTGCGATGTCCTTTCTGCTATCCTGCAAAATCCACCTGGTATTACAATGCGATGCCATCACACCCAGCAATAGAAGGATGTTCTCAAACTCTTTGTAATTGTTCCTTTTTTTCTCCTTTTCCCCCACCCTGCTGCTTCGCAGTCCTCTGCTGGCATGTGACGGCTGACAGACGGATCTAGACTGACTTTCTGTTCTCTCCTTTACCCAGCTAAACCACTTTGTTTTTACCAGTTTTTGGTTTGGTTACTAAATTTTGAACACTGTTGTCTTGTTTACTAACATACAGTAGAGAAAGAGCTGTGTGAAGCTGTAGGGCCTGCATGTTCTTACAGAAAGTTGGGGTTTGTGTCACTGACTGCCAGTGTGTTCCTGTGCATGATTTTGATTATTTGTAATTGATACATAAAAATAATTCAACATATTTCAGGCTCATTTTAGAAAAAAAAGTTATTCAACTGTGAAGTTACACAGATATAACATTATGTATTATAACTTTAAAAATTTGTAGTGGTGGTTTATCATAAATTATTAACCAAGGCAGAGGACTTGAGAAATGGGGTGGGGATTAAAGGTGCGATGTCCTAAGTCAGGACCAGACACATTTTTCATTACTTCATTTCACAAAAGAGAACTTAGAATCATAGGACCATTAAGGTTGGAAGAGATCTTTAAGATCATCAAGTCCAAAAAGACATTGCATGAGGTAAGAGGAAAGTTTCAAATCTGTGGCAGAAGAGGTGAGAAAAGTCATGAGACCAATGGAGTGGCAGGAAGTCAGGAATTCTCATTCTGCATCACAGTACAAGAACAAGGGGCATTTGAAGAAATAAGAAGTTGACTGAAAAATGACACAAAGGAGGGAGGGGGTCAATCGCTACATCACTCGATTTTGAAACCCGCTGCTGCTGTTTGTGTGGTCTGAGGCACAGGCTGGTGTGTGCTGGTGCAATTCTTTTAGTTCATCAGATCTGGTGCCTTGAGTGGGATCTAAACTTCTGGCTTACTTCTTGTAGGGTGTGCTGATCTCCAGAGCCTTGACACCATGCAGCCAATGGAAAGGAAGAGGCAGGGCTACATTCACGAGCTCATTCAGACGGAGGAAAGGTACATGGATGATCTGCAGCTCGTCGTAGAGGTGAGATGTCTAGGACATGAAAATGCATTTGGAAGAAGAGCACCTCTGTCCTGCTGAACAATAACAATAATGGGATTCTTACAAATTGTGAGATGCTGGAAGAGGAAAGGTGTGTAGGCACCTCCCTTTCTAGTGAATGTTACATGGTTGCCCAGCAGGCAAAACAACGTTGTGAAACCCCTTGGCTTACAAGGACCTTCCTGTTTTCCAAATCCTGTTCTTTGGTGTTTGGGTTCGGTGGAAAGATGATGGGCTGGGCCAGGCGTCGAGCAGAGCTGCACAGGCTCATGACAGAAACTGTAGAAGCACCATAAAAGTTTATCATGTGCCTTCTCCCCAGTTTTATTTCTGGAAGCAAGACCGACACACTAGGCCAGGCAGGGACTGGGCAGCCTAGTGTGGTGTTGGGTGTCCAATTTGACCTCTCTGCATAAAACAACTGTGGCAAAGTGTGAAAGATGTTAAATACACCAAGTTACACAGGTGCTCTACTCTCCAGAGGTGATGTGCTGTGGTTCTGCACACAGGGTGACCCTTCGTCCTCTGGGCAGGGGGAAAAGCACGATGTGCAAGTGCAATTTCTGTAGTGATTGACTCTGAAATCATGGGAATGCTCTTCTGCTGAGCAGTCAGCCTGCAGGTCCCAGTGCTTGTTCCTGCTTTGCAAATGATAATGCTGGTGTCAGAATGGGGTCACACGCTATGGGGAAATAGTGACAGCTGTCACAAGTGCTGCTAAGGAATTGCTTTTAACTCTTGAGAAATTAGACACTGAGCATTCAACAAAAGCAGTCACTGCTAGGCTAAACAAGAGGCTGAGCTGCTTTTGTCTCTGAAGAACGACTCAATTTTTTAATTTTTCTCCAGGTTTTCCAAAAACCAATGGCTGATTCGGGCTCTCTCACAGAAGGAGAAATGGGGCTGATCTTTGTTAACTGGAAGGAACTCATCATGTCAAATACAAAGTTACTGAAGTGAGTACTTACCTGCAGTCTTACATTTTCCTCTTTTTTATTTTCTTGTTCCTTTTTCCAGGAAGTTTCCTGCTTTTACAATGAGTATTCTGTCCTTGCTGATTATTTCCTGTGCATGTATGCATTCACAACAGACTGCTTCAAAAGGAGTTGTAATAAGAGAGAGGGAAGAGTAAACAGCAAGAACAGATACACATTTGCTGTAATACCTTAGAAGCAGAGCCCACACAAAAGTATGTGCATGGGAAGCATTCTTTCCAGTTCTCTGCACGTCAACCTTCTATTATCTAAAAATAAACTCTAGAGAGACAATGTGACTAATAATTCACTGAATGGGATGCTGGTTGAATGTAGAGAGTGATGCTGATTGTCCCAGAAACCTCACAGGAGAGTCCCAGTCCCTCAGACACCACCAGGCAGATCATTCAGCTCAGCATGTTGTGCTGGTGACTTCCTGGGGGTTCAGGCTGGATCCTAGCGCTGCCTGGAAGTGCCTTTGCTGTGTATGGGAATTCACCTCCCAGGCTTTGAGTCCTTTCAGAGGTGGGCGTTGTAAGGGCTGTGATTTAGGCCTCACAGACTTGGCAGCAAAGCTGGATGGTGATTTCTCTCCTCAGAGCCTTGCGGGTGCGTAAGAAAACGGGAGGAGAGAAGATGCCGGTGCAGATGATCGGGGACATCCTGGCAGCAGAGCTGTCCCACATGCAGGCCTACATCCGGTTCTGCAGCTGCCAGCTCAACGGAGCGTCGCTGCTGCAGCAGAAAACTGATGAAGATGCTGATTTCAAAGACTACTTAAAGGTATCTGATTCAGTAGCTTTTGTGCCTTCCCCTTTTCTCAAGGGAGGAGCCCGTCTGACCAGCATGGACCGGATCAAAATAACCCAGAAGAGTAAAATCCTGCGAAAATAGCTGAGACCCTTCCAAGGTGTATTTGTATGGTGACCTTGGTTAACACTGTCTGTGCTCTTTATTTATATCCCTGTCCTTCTCTCTAGCTAATTTACTGAGGCCATGAAAGGAGAATTCCCAGAGTTGCTGACATCAGGCATTTGTTTCTTTCATTGCTTTGTTCTTTTTCAACCTGAGTGGAGCCTGTAATGTCAAAATAAAAGCTGGAACAGTTTTGAATGTAAGGATTCTGCATGAACAATGACCCTATGATTTATGCTGGTAAAGCGTCTGGTACAATGACAGCGCTGGCTCTCCTGTTTGTTCTGGAAACAAGTATTGTTTGCTTACTGGAAAAATCTAAGATCTCTTGGAATGCCTGGAAAAATGAATCTGATCAGAGAGTTTTCAGTATTCAGTGCCAGTGAGGCAACTGTTTCCTGATGAGTAATGCAATGTTAAATCTCTACTGCACCACAGAAACTTGCGTTGGACCCTCGCTGCAAAGGAATGCCCCTCTCCAGTTTCCTCCTGAAACCAATGCAAAGGATTACACGCTACCCTCTGCTCATAAAGAGTGTGAGTACCCCAAGTGAGGTTCTGTAGGTGAATGCCTTGAGTCTGATCTCAATAGCAAAAGCAAAGATAAAGCCTTGACCATTTATGGGGATTTCTCTGAGCAGTACCAGTGCTTAACACTGATTTTATCTTTTCTCCCCTCTGTGATCCACACCAGATTCTAGAGAACACTCCAGAAAGCCACCCGGATCACAGTACCCTGAAGCTGGCCCTGGAGCGTGCGGAGGAGCTGTGCTCCCAGGTGAACGAAGGGGTGCGGGAGAAGGAGAACTCGGACAGGCTGGAATGGATACAGTCCCACGTCCAGTGCGAAGGCCTTGCTGAGGTAGCTGCATTGACACCCTGCATGGAAGAGTCTTCTCAGAATAATTTCAGAAATGCTGGAGGGGGAAAGGGAGTCCCTGCTCACATCCCTTATTGGAGTGTGATCCACCACTGAGCTCTTGGCAGAGAAGCTTTTATTGAATTCTACTTAGAGCCATAACATGATGAACCCTCATTTTTGCATGATTTTGGTGGTGGAGAAATCTTGATTTATAAGCTTAAAATCTTGATTTATAAGCTTAAAAACCATTTAAACTGTTAAACAGACAGAAATAACTCTTCCCTATGAAGTTCTGTTCCTGTTGCTGCTGGGCTAAGTCAGGGATTTCACTTAGTGTGTGCTTCCCAAGGTTTTCCTTCATGCAGGAAGGGCACAGAAGCCCTCAGTGCCAGATCCTCAAAGATATGTGGAGTTCAGGCTCCTGTACCTTTTAGGACAGCCTTCAAAATGAGGTGTGACAGTTCTCCACTGGCTGCCTAAGGAACCAAGGCTTGACAGGCCCAGAAGGTCTGTCCTGGTTCCATCACCTCCATCACCTCCATCAGGCCACCAAGAGGTGGCCTGACAGCAGACTGTGCAGCTCCTTCTAAACACAGCTTCTGGACAACAGAGGAGTGGCTGTGCAGTAAATGCCTGCATCCAGTCAGAACCCCGTGTGTGTTTTGGTAAAAGCTTAAATCTACTCTGAGTTGGGAGTTGTGCTGTTACCATGGCTGATCACGGAGTAGTTTCCTTTCTCTTAATTTGCAACTAAATTCGTTAAACAAAACAGAAGGGCGTTTTGAGCAACTTGAGCAATCTCCACGGTGAAGAGGAGCAGGAGCTGATCTCTGCATGAAGTTGCTGGTGCTAATGAGTTTTGTCTCTCCTAGCAACCTGTGTTCAACTCCCTCACAAACTGCCTGGGACCACGGAAGCTTCTGCACAGTGGGAAGCTGTACAAGGCCAAGAGCAGTAAGGAGCTGTACGGATTCCTTTTCAATGACTTCCTCCTGCTCACCTACATGGTTAAACAGTTTGTGTCTTCTGGCTCCGATAAACTGTTCAGCCCCAAATCCAACTCCCAGTTCAAAATGTACAAGATGGTGAGTGAACCAAGGTGTTCCATGGTCACGTTAGTAGCAGTGGATCCTGGCTTCTGATGAGGAATACTGTTGTTCTGCTGGGATTAGCTGCCTGGCCCCTTTTGCTGTCATACAGGCATGTCCTGGCAGACAACTTGCACAACTGCTGTTGGCTTGGATCCTGGAAAAGGACAGGCTTTTGTATCTTGGTTTAACAAACACTTCCATCCACTTTGGGGAGGAAAGGGCAGAAGTAGCATCGTGCCTGAGCAGCTCAGTGGGATGTTCAGAAGCAGGAGCCTTGACTTGAGTTTGCACAAGTTGCATCCACAAGAAATTTCCTGTCCTTCTTCAGAAAACAGTAAAAGGTGCAAAATTTTAGTCACTCTGTCGACACAGTGCATGTTCTCAAGATTCTGAAGTTGGAGAGATAAGTTTAAGTATCGGGGTTGCTTTCCCATAGGAAGCCTGAGAGATTCCAGGGACTTCCAAGCTTCACACTGCAGCTCTGCTTACACAGACATGCCCCTTTCACAAAGCTCTTCATCTAGGAAGATGAGAATGGGGTGTATTGCCAGAGTAGTTTTTCTCTCAGCCCTTTCTCACATCCTTTACATGATGATCTCATTGTTTGTCCTATGTCCTATGACTTTAGTTTTCCCTACAGTAAAACAATGTATTTAAACAATCTTGTAAACTTTCAGCTCATTGTCACAGGGTGATGCTGCGACAGTGACATTTGCTCTTCTTTCAGCCGGTTTTCCTTAATGAAGTCCTGGTGAAACTGCCCACAGACCCTTCAAGTGATGAGCCAGTTTTCCACATATCACACATCGACAGAGTTTACACACTTAAAACTGACAACATCAACGAGCGGTGAGTAGTGACAGTGCAGATCTGAGCCTAAACTTGCAGATTGAGGCTGCAGGCCGTCTCAAGTGAGCAGACATGGGGGGCTCTCAGCTCAAGAATAGGGTTTAGTCCCTTAGTCAGGAAATAAACCCACTTGACTCTCATTTGAATGACAGGTTTTCTCTGATTTTGTTCTGCTTGTGCAGCAGCTCTTGCAGTGGAATCCAGCCACATCTGCTGCTCCTTGACGTTATTGTTGTATACAAGAATAGTTTAGGGCTGCAAAGTCCAGCATCCCATAGGATTCTTCCCCAGTCCTAGACTGACCCAGCAGTCTTTAATAGAACAGCAGCTCCACTTTGTGTTTATTTAGTCTGATGTGGAATGTGGCATTAAGATTAAATCCAAAACCTCCATCACTTTAGTCCATGACCTAACTTGATTTGTGATGCCTCTGAAAGCCGGGGGGGATGGAATGGCCAAAGAGATTGGGGCAGAGTCACTGATGCTGAAGACTTCCCTGCCTGTGGGATGACTCTGACTGTAGGGATTGCTCTTTGCAGTACTGCTTGGGTCCAGAAAATCAAAGCGGCGTCAGAGCAGTACATCGAAACAGAGAAGAAGAAACGTGAAAAGGCTTATCAAGGTACCTACAGAGTTCTGTATTTCCCTCTCATCCACCTGGAGGATGCCACAGTGTCTGTGCAGGATCTCCCTCTTCAGATCTATTGCCAGTTTTTACAGTTCCAACCAATCCATTTATTTCTGACCTCTCTGTTCCCAGCTCGCTCGCAGAAAACCTCAGGAATAGGACGTTTGATGGTGCACGTGATTGAAGCAACAGAACTAAAGGCCTGTAAACCCAATGGTAAGTGAGGGAAACAGTCTCAGACCACTTTTATTCCTGTAACATTTGGAAAGGCTTGCTGAGAGGAGTTTGGTGATTTGGGAAACACTGTGGTTCAGCTACAGTTTCTGTATGAATTAGCCATTCAGAGGAACAAGTGAGGAACCAGCTCTGTGCTGCTGAGGGATATAGGGATTGCCTGATCCACATCTGGGCAGCAGCATCGATGTGTGTCCAGGAAGGCTCCAGATGGAGGGGAGGTTTCTGCACTGCAGGGGATTTTCACTCCCTGTTCTGTATTTAGGGAAGAGCAACCCGTACTGTGAGATCAGCATGGGCTCGCAGAGCTACACTACCAGAACCATGCAGGACACCCTGAACCCCAAGTGGAACTTCAACTGCCAGTTCTTCATCAAGGACCTGTATCAGGATGTTCTGTGTATCACCATGTTTGACAGGGATCAGTTCTCACCCGATGGTAAGTGTGGACATTTAGGAAAAGCAGCAGTTCTGAGAGCCTGTGGGTCTGACTGCTGCCTGGGAAGTGTTGTGTGAAAGCAGTGCCTCAGGACACAGGAGGTTCAGTAGCCTTCCAGAGCCAGTAGCTCCAGGCAGTCCGATTGGATCCCACTCTGGCTTTTATGTCAGACACAGCATTTTATTTTTTTTTTTTGTTCAGACTGGGCAGACAGAGAATTTGAAAGCAGAGGTTTTACTCTCTCACTCTAGGTGCCCAAAAATAAGGTGCCAGGTTGTCTTTGCACAGCAACAGCTTGATAAGCTTTCTTGTTTTGTTTGGAAACAACACGGTTTTGGCTGTCAGGTACTCCCTAAAAGCTTAAATGCTCTTTCAGGGCTGACATGTGGTTGATTATTGCAGATTTGCTAGGAACTGCCTTGACCTGAGGTGCCATGTGTGTAACTATAGCTCAGTCTTTTCTCCTGTGAGGTAACATGACTTTGGCTGCTTCTCCCAGCCAGACAGCAGAGTCTGTTGGTTTTTCAGTCCACAGTGAGCCTTTTAATGCACAGACACACACAAAGATGTTGTATAAGAAATGGCCACAAAGAAGGTATATGATTTCTGAATAGAACTGTAAACCTACTAGTGGTAGTAATTGTTCAAGGTCATTGTTCTTGAGAGAAGAATGATATATAAGCTTAATAAAAGTTGGCTGAGCCAAAACAGTTGATTTTTTTTATTGTCCTTGTGGCATCTCTGCTGATTTGTAAACAGGTTCTATCACCTAACTCTGACCTGCTAGCTCTAAAACTGGAGAACATTTGAAATTGTGCTTCTGAAAGGGTATTTTCTAAGAGTGTTTTTAAAGCCCTAAGCTCAAACATGACAATAAAGGCATGCTGTCCATCCTAAATCCATAGCATTTTTGTCTTCTAAAAAGACCCTTTTTTGTCACTGCTGGCTGGTTTACACAGGGCTGAGGGCCAGTCAAACAGGAAACCTGGGAGCAGTGCTCTGGAACTGAACACCTACTATGCAGCATTGCTGCTTAACCTGACTCTTTCAGGTTTTCTAAGTTGTCCTTGCCTAATGAAATGTCTTACTCACTTGCCCAACAGATTTTTTGGGTCGCACCGAAGTTCCAGTAGCAAAAATCCGAACAGAACAAGAGAGCAAAGGCCCCATGACTAAACACTTACTGCTGCATGAAGTTCCAACTGGAGAAGTCTGGGTTCGCTTTGACCTGCAGCTCTTTGATCAGAAAGGACTCTTCTAAGAACACCTTTTCTTAATTTATGAAGGACAACTTAAGCTGACAGACTGAATATCTTTTGGTAAAAGATTCCTTGCCCCACGCTGGTTATTAAGCAAGAGTTCCTGCTGCCTCCGTGTTTCCTTTTAGTTCCTGCTTGTGCTTAGTTCCTTGCAGTGTTCCCAGTTGTTGTTGATCTATGCAAACACGAATGTTACTGTATATACAGTACTATAGCTCAGTGCCTTTTTATTATGTTGGAATATCTTGGGTTTGGATGCCAATGTTTCCATTTTCAGGGCCATAAAAAGTATTAAGTAGAAATGTGGCACCAAGCTGTTTGTATATTTTACCACTTGGTCTGACAGACAGACTGAGGAATGGTTTAAGCTCAGCACTGGAATCATTCCATTTGAAATCCTAAAAGTGATATCCACTGGAATCTTCCCGTCTCAGGATGATGGTTTTAAAGGTAAAATGCTGAAGAAGCCTTAGCACTGGAGAAGTCTCCGATATATTGTAAATTCTTTAAGAATCAAGTGTAGTTCTTTACTTGACTTAGTTCTGCACTGGAATCAGTAACTGCTACTTGATTTTAATTTCTGCTTCAGTTTGATTCATCATTCTCTGCTAAGACAATGTTGTTGTGAAGAATAACTAGAAAAAATATTTTAAATACTGTGACCCACAATAATGTGGCAAAATACTCTTCAGCTTTTGGGTTTTTTTTCCTAAATATAAGTTATTTGTGTACATTTCCTTGGTCTTGCAGACCTCCATGTGAATCTTGAAGCTTTGACATTGCCAACATGTATATAGAGAGTAAAATATAAGTTTATTAATGTAATTTGTCTACAGATGTTTATTGATTTTTAAAAAGTATATTTTATTGTACAGGGGAATGTGAAATAATGAGAAAAACAGGATTTGTTCAAGAAAAGTTTATTACAAGTTTAAAAGGTTTGCTGGGGGGGAACTACACCCCAACACAAACCTGTAAAAAGAGCTGGTTGAAAGCAAAAGCTTTCTCTTGGCACCAAATCAGGGATGGTTAAAAAAAAAAAAGTTTGTTTATAAAATGTTTGATACATTGTAACCATTTTACTGCCTCCTTAAACTGCCTTGTTGCGGAGCACAGCGCGCAGTTCTGAGCAGCCCTTTCCACGGGTGCAGCAATTCCTCCTGAAGTCTGGCAGTTTCCCATGCAGTCACCATCTGTGCACCCTCCTTACTGAGTCAACCTCTGTTACTTTTAACAGTTTTCTGTGGTTCAGTATTTCTAATCCTAAATAAAACTCAATCTTGGCAACTCTTGAGAGATTGTGTCTGTACAGTGAGAGTTTGAAGAATAGAGGAAATTCTGTTTCCAGGCTTTGAGACCAGAGTTGCTGTGCAGCCAGACCAGGGGGGAGATGGGACCACACTGGAACGGGAGACTGGTTTGTGGGGCACTGGCTCAGCTGCTGCTCAGCACAGACTCTCTGAAAAGCACTTCCCATCTCCCCTCCCCTACTTATTTCCTGCTTTCTCAGAACACCTAATATGTATGTTAAAAGTTTGATTTATTGCTTGTACACTGTGTTCAGGAGAGAACACCAGCACTGTTTTTGTTGAGCTGAGCCTAAGTTAAATCTAAAACAGCAGATTTTGGCTTGTAGAGCATGAACTGGAGCTGGCAACAACAGGAGCAGCATCCCAGGCATTTCTTTGGCTGCTGAGTAACAACATTTCAGAACCACGTTCAAGACAGTAAGTTTATTGCAGCTTGCCAGAAGACCTGGCCTGTTATCACTTGCTTTGGCAGGAGATGTAACCTAAAGGGTACCTTCTGATGGGTGTGCTTGCTGCTCTGGTCAGCTGGGGGACAGGTGACATCATTGGCTCTCGCTGTCATTGTGGTGATTGATGTCTTTCATTCTTTAAACAGAAGTAAAAACTATTGTCATGCTCCTGTAAAGATCAGCTGAGCTGCCAGAGTAGTTCCTTCTACAGAGCACACACACAGCTTGCCTGGGAATTCTCCAACCCTCCTTAGACAGAACACACTCCCTGTGCTGCCGCAGTGGATTTAAAATGAGGAAAACAAACCTCCCCCCTGCCATTGCCTACTGTGCCTCCAAATCTGAGCTTAGTATGGATCCAAACCACATTCCTGATGAAAACCATGTTCAAATACTCTTGGGCTTAAATGCACTAGGAGCTGGGACCCATATTTGTTCAGGTAATAAAACTAGAATGTGTTTCCCTACAGCAGCACATCAGTAACATGCTCTGCCTCCTAACTATGAACGGCCTGCTGGCCAAAGGGGAACTCCAAACCTCACACCTTCCAGCAGTCTGTGCACGTCTTCTGGGAGAATGGATCATACTCGGATGGGTCAAAATAGTCCAAAAACACGTAGCCCTGTGGGAGAAGCAGGTACTGGGTCAGGTCTCAGAAGCCTTAGGTGATACAATGGTGAGAGCAGCCAGCCTGGGTGGGACACAGCCTGTGACAGACATGGTGGAGAAAAGGATTCCCAAATTTTCATACACTGCACCTCAGAAATAAGGTGACTGAAGTGTAACAGGAAAATTCCTCTATCCATTTTAATTTATCATAGGCATAAATACATAATACATGATTTCATGGAGCATCCAGAAATAATTTCAGGCTAAGATGCTAACCTTAACTAGGGCAGTCAAGATAGTGGAAATTTCGGTCAAGGGAAAATGTTTTGACAGAGAAGGAAACAGTTCAAGTTCCCTATAACAAGCACATAAAATAGTCCTCCCTAATATTCTTTCTTACAAAACCTTGGAAATGAACTTTTTAATCTTTCTTGTGTGGGTGATTCTCCAGGGATCCCAGGAAGGAAGGGAGCATTCAGCCCACGGCCTCCTAGATCTCAGCCCTACACAGTTCTTCATGGCAATCTGTGGATGTGATTTCAAGACTTGGAAAAAACCATACTTTAACCTGAACAGCTCAGGAGCTCTGCAAGACAAGTCCAACCAAAAAAAAAGTGGGATCTACAGTAGATTTAAGAGGTCACTGTGCTGAAGCAGCTCACAGGGAAGTGAGCCAGGCCCTGAGGGCCTGTGCTGTTCTCAGACACTCGGAAAGCACCCGAGTGGGGCTTCTCTACTGCTGAGTGTGAATGCTGCCTCTGCAGGGGCCTCTGCTCCTCAGGATCTGGCAATTCCCCACACAACAAGCAGCAGCCACACTCATCATCTCATGTTTCTGTCCCTGGAAAGCTTCAAGCCCTAATAGAGCTCAATTTGCAGAGTTTTAGTGCCACCCCTTGGTTTACTATCACATATCACCCCTTTACAGGGTCTGCTGAGACCTCAGTGGATCACGGAGGTGCTTTGCTGCACTCCCAGGTCTGATCCCTTCATGTGGTCGATGCATTACCCCTCACACAGCCCTTGGAATAAAGCAGAGTAAAAGCTCTTCAAAATGAGTCAGGGGGGTCTCTTTCTCTGCAGCACACAATGCCTACAATAGCCTGGACTACCAGAAGCTGAGTTGTGGCTAACACAGCAGCAACCCAGGCAGGGGAATCCCCTCTCCTTGCAGGCTGCACTGTCACACTGCCATCTTCACTCTGACCAACCATCTCCTTAGGTACCTGCAGTCCATGGCCACAGGACTGGAGGGAAGGAGGAGTGAGAAAGGCAGTGAAAAGGAGGCAGATTTGAGGCAAAAAAACCCACATATGAGCAGGTCCTTGGAAGAACAGGGAGTCAAGGAAGGGAGGTAAAGGAGGAGAGGTCAGATGGTGTGAAAAAGGCAGATGAGTGAGCTGACAAAGACTGAGATGGAGGGATTTGGAAAAAGAGTGAGGAGAGGAGGAGAATGGAGGAAAGGGGGGAAAGACAGCTTTGGAAAGCAAAGGGCAGTGAAGAACTTGGAGGAATTATCAGAAGCAACAAGAAGATGGAGACACAGCAGTGGGTAGCATGACAGAAGAAAGAGGGGCAAAACGGATTTATGGATGGAGTAAAAGAGTTGACTGGAGAGAGAAAGAGAGCAAGAGGAGAGACTGGAGGAAGAATAATAGACATGGAAAGAAGGAATGGACCAATCAAAGGCACGGGAAGGTCAGGAGATCTGGGAAACAGGAGGAGAAGCCTAATAGCAGGGAAGAGAGCAAATGGACAAAAAGAAGGGAGTGAGGGGAAAATATATAGCCAGAAGTCAGTATATTAACCAATCTACAGAAATGTTTCAAGTTCTGCAAAACATATCATGTGCTGCCACGGTCAGTGCAAACTTATGCAAGTGAGTTGTCCTGTAACTCTGAAGGGCTTCAACCTGCTCTGCAGACCTGCTGATGATAGAGTGGACACCACAGAGCAAGGGGAAAAGGTGGAGGCTGATCGCTGGTGCTGGTGCTTCCCTTCCAGGAGGACACATCCCAGCACATCAGCCAGTGCTTTTGGAGGACACCCAGCAAATTCCTGACCTGACACAGAAGCTTGGAAGTGGACTGATGCAGACCCAGATATGTACAGTACACCCAACATATCCTAAATCCTAGGACATCAGCAGTAAGACTGGTTCAGGTCTTTGCTGTTCCATGCAGTTTAAATGCATGGGTCTGTCACATCAGGCCTTTGAAAAAGAAATCATTTGCTCTCGTTAAAACAACACAGCTCCCGTGACATTTTCATTTCTGGCTGAGAAGGTTGTTTACAGTCTCACGACTCCACTGTGCAGTGGTTTCCACTAACAACAAATTCCTGCTCTCAATAAAATATTATCATTTTTATGTAACTGCTCTTACTGCTCTATATTTCCATTCCTGAGAAAATTGAGTTGTGGGATTTGATACTCAACAGTGGTGTGAAATTCAGAGCAAAATGAAGAAAACCAACAAGTATTTCCTACAGTGACTGCACTTTTTCTGAGTACTGAAACCCATGGAACTACAAAAAGTTGGGTCTATTGCCTGTATACAGACTTCAAGAAAATTGTTTGTATCTCCCTGTTCTCACATTTTTTTCTTTTATGAAGCTTGATCAGTAGCATCCAAGGCCACAAAATCATTTCATTTGTGCTCTGCCAACATACTGCGGTAGTGATGTAGCTTAACTTCTGAGACATGAGAGTGCAGTCCACTCCCTGCTCAGTCAGCCTTTGACTTCAGCTGACAGAGCTCAGTTTTTCCCACTACATGATCCAGCTCACAAAGGGAAATACACATCAATATGGTGCCTCATCATATTCAGACCCAAGCAAGGCTATTGTTTGTATCTGATGGTGAACTTAAACAGCTCTAACATCATATGTCACCATTGCAGAAGTCCTTGGGAAAGAAAGGTAAGTTACAGTTAAGGTGCATCTGAATTCCAGGCTACTCAATGGACAGCAAATAGCAGCTAAACCCCTGATCTTGTCCAAAGCCCTCCCTATGCAACTCTCTCCATGACACAAATTTACTTCTCCCTTGATACCTTCTTGTTACAGTAGTTTAAATATTGAGACAATTGTTCTTGCTTCCTTTTCTGCATTTCTTCGATTGACTGGCTGCCCATTTCGTCCTCAATTTTCTGCAGCACTGGCTCTAAAACATCCTTAAGCCATTCTTTGTACACGATCTCCTTCTTTCTCAGATTTAGGAAATCATTGTGCCTCAGGTATCTGTCCACCTTCTAAGTAAGAAATGCAAAATAAAAACCATACAAATTATTGGCCAAGCACATTAAAGGTTTCACAGGTGAAGGCTGACTGGTCTCTGCTCCAAGGGTGCTGTTTTCCAGCCCTTCTTTGTGCTCCTCCCTCTCTCCACTTCCCACCACTCATTTCCAACCTCTCACTTGCAAGAGCTCTGGCATTCAGACCCTTAACTTTTGAAACTGTGGTGCAAGACTGGCAGAAAATTACTCACTTTTTCCCATCAGGTTATTGAGCTGAAATCACTGCAGAACAGCGGGCTGATAAGCAGCAGACTGTGCAAGACAGGCAGCAGGAGAGGGATCCTCTCCCTGCAGCACTGGCAATCTGCTAGATCAGATCAGATCAGATCAGATCAGATCAGATCAGATCAGATCAGCACTGCTGCCCTTTGCTCACAGCCCCACTGACCAACTAATCACATCCACAGAGCAAATATTAGGTGCAAACAGGCAGGTAAGTTACCTATGATTCACATTTAGGGTTACTACTTCAGTCATATCCAGAGGAGAGGCCACAAACTCATACTTCTAAATCAGTTTTTCAAGAATATAGACAATTAACATTTTCTCACAAATCACTGACCAGAAACTAGAACACATTGACATGCAGGAAAGCACACAACAAATGAGAAGAGGTACCACTTCTTACCCTCACAAAACAATTTTCTCTGTCCAAGATGCACTGAACAGAAGCAATGATGTCTCGGCTTTGGTCAGGTGTTACCTAACAGAACATTAAAAACCCACATGAAGTAAAAGCAGGACTCAGACTAGGAGTCAGATTTACTTTTGAATTCAAAATAATCACTGGTGGTGTGATTAAAGGCACATTATACCATAACCCAGCTGGCAAATCCTTGTGAGACTTGCTCGGAACAGTGGGGATAAGTAGCAACAGAAGAGTGTTGGAAGAACTGGAATGGGAACAAGAATGTACATGTTAAGACCATACACCTCCTTGGCTGCTCCTCACCATGACCACACACCACTTGTTCCTTGCCACTGTCGCTCACCTGTGCCAAACACGTGTCTCATAAACTCAACTCCTGCACTGCAGCCAAGGAGCACAAGCAATACAGACCAAATCCATCTATCACTTGGGGATGGAATTCCTGCAGGGAAGATGAGGGGGGTACCTCCCCTGTGATCAGGCTGCACCAACTCTGTGGGTTAACCAGAGAGACCTTGTCTTCACGAGTCCATCAGCAGCTTCTACAAGCAACAAGTTGTCCAAGTTTTGGCTGGGATAGAGTTAATTTTCTTTCTAGTAGCTGGTACAGTGCTGTGTTTTAAATTTAGGATGAGAGTAATGTTGATAACACACTGATGCTTTAATTGTTGCTAAGTAGTGTTTACACTAAGCCAAGGTTTTCTCAGCTTCTCTCCCCACCCCACCAGTGAGCAAGCTGGGGGGGGTCACAAGGAGCTGGGAGGGGACACGGCTGGGATAGCTGACCCCAAATGACAAAGGGTTATCCCAAACCTCAACTGATCTGGTTTTACTCAGGGCTGAAATATTCACATTTCACCTGTCTGACCTGCTGCCTCCTCCTGTGGTTTCCACAGACAAATTCAAAGTCATCCCTGCTGTGACTTTCTTCTGCTGTTTAAAAACTGAGCTATAGCCACAGCATTTTTGCACGAGCCCACCATGCCAGCGGCAGCACAGACTCAAGGAATGCATTTGATGCGCAGAATGGAAAATTAGCCTGCTACTCCCTGTGCTTAATATTGATTCTTACTTCCAATAAACAGTGTAGTTTCCAGTCACGTCTGTCTTGACCTTGCTGACCAGCTCCACACTCCAACAGGTTTATTATCCTGAGATAAGCAGGACATCATACATCAGACCAGGCAAGGAAAGGACAAGTAGTATTAAAAAAATCACCAAAAACAAATGAGAAGAGGAAATCTAAATTGCTGGCACGTTTTAAGATCCTTTCATCCTACTATTTGAAGCAACTGGTATGTTGTATTACACCTGACAAATCTACTTCACATAATCACAGATCCTTTCTAAAACCAGCACCGTAACAGCAGCAGGGAGACACAGCCATCACTCCAGCTGAGAACCACCAGCAGAAAGTACTCAGAACACACACTGGTGAGTAGGTGAAAAGTCTTCCTTCAGGATGATCCCTATGTGAAGACCCCTTAAGAACCAAAGGAATTAGGTCTCCTTTGACTGAAGGAATTCAGTCTATTCTCCCTGGAAAAGAACAGGCTCAGGGGGAGCCTCATCACAGTACTTACAGAGCAGCTACAAAGAGGATGGAGGTTCTCTCTGCACCAGAAGCCACAGGGAGGAGACGAGGGGTAAGAGGTACAAGTTGCATTGGCTGAAGTTTCATCTCAATATAAGAAAGAAATTTTTTAGAGTGAGATCAATCATTGACTGGAACAACCTCCCCAGGGATGTGGTGGAGTCCCCATCACTGACAATTTTCAAGATGTGATTGGACAGGGTGCTAGACAACCTCATCTGGTGTCTCTTTCCAAAAAAAGGTTGAACCAGATGATCTTTCAAGGTCCCTTCCAGCTGAGGCTGTTCCATGAGTCCGTGACTAGTCACAAGCTTGTTTCAGGTTTTATGGGAAACTTTTCCACATACCAAACTGCAAATAACTCGATAAAGCTGCCTCAAAAGGATGCAAGAGCTTGATAAAACCCATTGAGTTGGTTGCTTTTTACAGAGTTCTCTGTTCTTCTCCATGACAAACACATCTCAGATTTTGCAGAACTTTGCGAATAATTATTTTTCATTCCTCCCTTCATAACTTCCATTTCATTCCTCCACTCATATCTTTGCACAGCAGAAGCCCTTCTGTGTTAGCCAATCTTTGGCAATAATTTTCTTCTGCAGTCAAAAGTATTTGCTGTGACACTCTTTGCTGGTGCTGAGGAGAACCTCTGGATAAAAAGGTAAAGAAAGGGCAAGGTCCACATAAAAAGCCAACCCGCTTTACAAAGATCAGGCCCTCATCCAGGTTCCACAATCAAGCTACAAATTGGGATGGAGCAGTAGAAAGTAACATACACTGCAATAACCATTTCTGAGTGTGCCCAGAAGGGACAGACTGAGAAACAAGGCTCCTGCTGGCTCACAGATGAATTCAGGCACATACCAGGGACGGCAGTCTGGCACAGACAGACAGACCAGAACACTGTCCAGAATTCAGTGGCATTAGGTGGCCAGTTCCAACACAGAAGCCCAATTACACACAAATACTGTCTAGAACTCAGTGGGATTAGGTGGCCAGTTCCAACACAGAAGCCCAATTACACCCGAATACTCTGGGATCCCAGTTACAGACTCTGGTTTCCTGTGATTCTTCACAGTAGAACCTACAGCTGAAGGACTATTGGGAGTCACTCACCTGCCAAGGCCGTGGCTGATCAGGTTCTTTCACAGGTCTCAGATGTGTCATTATTTTTAGCCAGGGAGTCTCTGAGCTGTTCACACTGTGCATGGTTGGAATAATCTGGGAGAAACATTAAAACAGCCCAAACATACAAAACTATTGTATAAACAGCAAAAACCTCATTTTCTTATAATTCCTATCAATTGATGAAGCAAATCTCTAAAGGAATTCTTAACTGCTGCATTCTCCTGTCATAGCAAGTAAAACAGAGATGAAGCATCAGGTTTACAGTCAGGTACTGCCTCTGCTGGGACTGTCTGTCCTCATCTCCACAAACAACGGACAGTACATTTTGTTTCAAAGAACAGTGGTTCACAAATCATTCCAGAATGCCTGTCAGCTTTGAAAACATTTCAGTTATCAAATTTCACCTCTGGACTATTACTTATTTCCTTTGTGCCTTTTTCAGTCACATAAAAGTCACTTTCAAGTAACTGCTACATTCCCCCCAGGGATGGCTGCAATTTAGTGGGTTTTAAAGTCAGTTCTACCAGACAAAGCTTATGCTGAAGCACCAACTCTGAGCTCCAGCCAGAAAATTCCACCTCCTCTCTTGTATGTGCCTCAGTATGTCTGAATCAATTTATAACAGAGACAGGAGAACCACAGAGGTAAAATGCCTTTTACAGGAACCTCCACTTAAACCTCTTTATTTCAGATTCACTGGAGGTACACTGCTTCCAGGAAACAATGGATTCACAAAATTACTTAGGTAAAGAGTGGAACAAAAGAAAAGCTTATTTCTGCAGATACTGACCTCAAGTCTTCAGCCAGATCTTTCAATTACGAAAATATATTCTGTTCTTCAATTATGTTTTGCAACATCCAGTTAAAAGAATCTGCAAAGACTCTTCAAATCAGATATTCATAGAAGGTAACAATATTTTTTGCACAAGACAATATTCAAAAGTTTACTCTGTCCAACCCAGCACTTCACTGACAATATCTGACTCCCAGCTGGCCTCTCTGGACTGCAGATTCAAATCTCTTACCATCGGTTCAAGGTGCAGTCTGCAATCTGTATCTTTATTTGTTTCATTTCACATATCCTTGCCTGGATATTCCCACTTCCTCACAGAAATGCTTTCCTGTCTTTTCTGACTGAAAGAGTCAGAAACCACATGAAAGTGTGTGTTGGAAGGGTTCTCAGGAGTCCCAGTCCCATGCCAGCTTGAAGAAGAGCAAACCTCACAGACAGGATTGCTCAGGGCCTCGCCAGGCCAAGTTCTGAAAATTCCCTTCCTCAAATTTGAAAGCTCGTGTCCTTCCCTCCAACTGCTTCTATAAAAGAAAAATCCTCATTTCTGCCATGTAAGCCAGGTAAAGCCAAATTAAGGGGAAAAAACAATGTAATGCACATGGTACCAGGGACTTTCCTTCCCTCCTGCATAACTCTGCCAGATTTCTATTCTGTCATCAGACACAAAGAAAACTAAAAATTTGCAGTGGAGTAGGTCACAACATCCCAATTCTCCACGGAATTTTTTCAGCCCCAGTAAGTCAGGTTCCAAACCCAGAAATACACACCGGCCTTGGCAGTGTGGCAGCCCAGCAGGTCCTTCCTCTATAGTGATTCCCTGCCCTCTCTGTACAGAGGAGACAAGAGATACAGAAGAAAATACGGAATTTTAATTAGGACACAGGATTTGGAAAGCAGATGTCCTGCCACTTTCCATGTGGAAATGAACATTTTTTGTCTACATGTGCCCCAATGGCCCCTGAAGAGAGCTGTACTATGGAGACTGGTGTTCCCTGTGAGAAGCCTCCCGCTCCAAAAACAATCTCCCTTTTATCCAGACAGCACAAATCTACTGAGTTCCAAGAAAGCATATCCAACCTCCTGGTGTCTGAGGAGCAGGGGAAGGATTCTCACAGTTTATCCTTCATTCTGCAATAATCAATTAAAGCAAACAGATAAATGACTACATAAACCCTGATTAGCACTGACCCAATTTCTGATACAAAATAACAGGCAAACAGAGAGGACTGAAGCTGGGCTGAACTGGGGTGCTACAGATTTGGTATTAGACAAGTCAACAAACCTTCCTATGAGCCAGACATCCCACCTACCTGCACAGGTGCCATGGGCTCCTTGGTCACACTATTTTTGACAGATATCCTTTCCCTCCAAGTAGTTTTGTTCTTCTGGGGTAGGGATGCTGTAAATCCCTGGACAAGTTTGAGACGAAGAAAATACATATATCGATATTTTAAATTACAAATTACATAAAATACATATTCTAATATTTTAATTTCTAATCTTACAAAACAAGTAAAATAAAAAAAAAACCCAACCATTAGGCTCTTTTCTATCTTCAGTAACTAGTATTAAGACTCCATCCATCTCACAAAGAAAGGCTGAGCCTTTCTCTGAGCACAAAGCAAAGGAGGTGTTTGATCTCATCACAGAGAATTGGGACCCCAGGGGAGACAAAACAGAGCAAACACAGAGAACCTGCCTCTGCAGCAATCTGCCCTCAGGAACCCACAAGTGGTAAACACTAACTGCAGATTTTTTTCCCCCCAGTCTTCATAACTCAAGCTGCCACTGAGTCCTTTCTTTTACTTCTTTGTTTGGAGTCTTGCTAGGAGATACCAGCTCTCCGTGACTAACAAAGGCAGAGCCCACTGACTTGAGACAGCAGCTGTTTTTCAGGTCTTAAAACTAAAGGTTTAACCACAGGCTTGGACAGAAATACAGTAAAGCATTTCCAAAATCTGAGTGGATAAAAAAAAAAAGATTTGCATTTCAAATAGCAGTTGCACCCTGCAAATGCCAAATCCCATGAACAGGTTGGCTGTTCTGTAATATTAGGACGTTTGTTCCACTGTCCCACATCCCTGGAAGTGTTCAAGGCCAGGTTGGATGGGGCTTCGAGCAACCTGGTGTAGTGGAAGGTGCCCCTGCCCATGGCAGGAGGCTGAAACTGAAAGAACCTCAATGTCCCTTTCCAACTCAAACTGTTCTCTGATTCTGTGAGAGAACCAGTCTCTAGTGCGAGCAGGGCAGCTCTTTGAACCCTGCAGCTTGTGAATGCGGAGCTAACAGGTAACATGTGCAAGGCCGGAGCGTTCCGGCCTGGCCCCTGCACCTCGGAGGCAGCGATCGGGACCAGGCCAGTGAGAGGAGAACGACGAACCCCCGGACCCGCACCCTGCCCGGCCCTGAGGCAGGTCCCGCAGACCGCAGGGCAGGCGAGGGCGGGCAGCAGAGCCCAGCTCCCCCCACCGCCGTGCCGGGGTCCCTCACCGGCCCCAGGGGCGGCCGGACGGGGCTGCGGTGGGAGCCAAACCCGCCCCGCTCGGCACAGCCCCACTGAGGGGAAAATGGCGGTGCCCCCCTACCCTCACGGTTGTTGTAGAGCCCCTCCGCGTCCTTCCGCCGAGGAAAACAGCCTCTCTCCCGTTACCCACAGCCTCTCGGGATGAGGAGGCACCGCCCCCGGGGACAGGGATGGGGCAGCCCGGCCGCAGGGCCGGCACCCGGACCCTGTTCCCGGGCGGAGGCGGGACGTGGGCACGGGCACGGACACGGGCACGGCCGGACCCCTCCGCGCGCGGCCGCACAGCGTCCCGCGCTGCCATGGCAACCCCAGCGCGCGCGCTGCCCCCGGCAGGGCTGCCCACCAATCAGAGAGCGAGACCGCGGCCAGTGAGCCAATCAGAAGCGAGAACAGCCCGGCCGAGCCGAACCCGACCAGCCGAGCCGAGCCGAGCCGAGCCGAGCCGAGCCGAGCCGAGCCGAGCCGAGCCGAGCCGAGCCGAGCCGAGCCCAGCCGAGCCCAGCCGAGCCCAGCCGACGAAGTCAGGGTCACTGGCTTATCCAAAGTTCACTAAATTGTATTACGAGATTTCACACATTACCGTGCAGTGCTAGCCGTGACATTAAATTTGAAATTGAAGGCAGCTAGAGATACCAGATGAGGGAAATGTGAGGGGTTTTTACCTCAGCGGCGCTGCGCTGACACAGAGATCTCGCACTAACCAAGTGTCACATAAAAGGGCGGGTTCCTCAAAACCTTTATATTTGATTTTTTTTAAAAAATATTATTGTATTGATTTGTCAGCGCCCCAGGAAAGACAAGCTCCTCGAGCCCGAGCAGCCTGTCAGCGCCCAGCCCTGGCCCTGCACGGGACACCCCAAGAATCACACCATGTGTTTGAGAGCCTGAGAGCCTTGTCCAAATGCTTCTTGAACTTTATCTGCTCTTGAACTGTATCGGAGGGTGGGTCAACTAACCTTTTCAGGGACATGAGCAAAGTGTCAGAGCCAAACCCCTTACTTCAATTTGGAAAGAGAGACCCCCTGCTGGATGCCACCCTCTCTCGGTATTTTATCAGTTTTGTCAAGTCTTACCCACTGCTGCAGTCTGCCAGCGCCCTTGAAAGACTCACACGGAACAGTTTAAGGAATAACACACTTTATTAACAAATACACTGATCACAGAAGATTGTGACAATCAGGGATTGATGTTGACGCTGAACTGATTCCAAGAAAAAGTCTGAAGCAATACACAAAGGAAAGCTTGAAATAATAATTAGCACACTTAGAATAAAGTTCTTACCCAACAGGCCTCCCTAGAGGGGAGAAACCAGGTTCAGCCCATTGATCAATCCCAGAAATTAGGATAGGGGGTCTTCCCCAACGTCTCCCCCTCTTAACTCACTGTTACATTATTTCTTTACACTTATATGGAGCTTCAGTGACTCCAGTCACACGTACTTTTGTTCCTGATTGGTGTAAAATTCTGTCACTTTGCTCTTAAAGATATAGTTAATAAAATAGAGACCACGTGCTCAGGGAGGGGTGGTAACTTTGGGATGGAGGTATATATAATATATATATATAAAAAATATATATAATACAGTATTACAGTATTATATGAGATTATAATGAGCAAGGTTCATCTGAGGAGAGCGATTTTGCCACAGTTGCTGGTTCAGCAACAAGGCATCTTTTCCTCTCTCACTTGGTTGACAGCTGCTCTGCGGTTTATCAGCCACCTGGTACCATCCAGTTCCCATTCCTGAGCGGATTACAACAGAGCCCGGCCGCCGTGTCTTCACTCTGCTCCACCCTCCGAGTCATTCCACTTTAGCATCTGCAGGGTGTGTTGCCTGGGGAACTGTCGTGACACGGATTCCATGCTTGCCAACCGCATTCTCTCCTCAAAGAAGCAACTGTGTTTCACCCTAAAATTTCCTTAATGTTATAACATCCGTTAGAACGTGACTATAACTTTAGACTCAAGCTATTTTCCCCCTATTTTCCCACATAATCCACCCCGCGACTGGAGTCACTCAAGCTTCACAATATCCAAATGGAGTTTAAGAGTGTTTTATGCATTTGTATTGCGGGGGTTATCTAATGTTTGTGGGGGTAGCCAATAGGCTAATTGCTTCACAATAATGCAAACTTTAACATACAATACTAAGACAAAAACAAAAGAGTTAATGTCAATAAAACAACAACAGGGCAAAGCACTCTCTTGAGAATTCCTGTAGCAGCTGGTGATCATCCAAAGAGAGTATCCCACCACCAATGTTCTTCATCTTTCTTGACTGCTTCTGAAATATGATGTATTTTCTCTGCATTATGATGGATGGGAATCAGAGTCCTTTGTCCATTTCCTTGAGTTTGCTTCAGCAATTGGTTTAGGTCTTCATGTTGTAGTAGCTTTCTGCTCAAGTTGAAATTTGCTCCAATAGGGGTAGGCAGCAGGTCTTGAATCAGCATATACTTAGACCATGACAATTGATAAGATATGACAGAAGCTGAGTAAATAAAATCATCCCATAATTTCAATGGATTTACAAACACAAATCTGAGTCATTACTTGTAGCTACAGTAACATTATCTACAAGTAAAGAATTCCAAAGAGTTCACACTTCCATTATCAATATTTACAACTGAAAACATTTTTAGGGTTTTCATTAGGATGTGTCTCAAAATGACAAACACTTTGTTCAGTTATAAGACAAATGTCTTGAGCTGTGATGATGTTATTTTCACAAATGACTCCTTGTTGCTCTTGCGCAATGACATCAATAGTTCACCATTTATTTCCATCCTCTAGGGCCCATATCCTACGCTCCAGGGATAGAGTATGATCTGTTGTGACTTAACCCTGACACAATGGTAGGGTATATAATATATACTGAGCAATGTGTACAGTTAACACAAAAGCTGTGGCTGTGCTGTCAATGGCATCATAGGTAAAACTGACTAAATACCACCAGGACTGGAATTTTTCTTCAAACTCAATCACATTGTCCCAAATTACTTCTAGAATTCCAGTGGGTAAGATACCTTCTTCACCTTCCCTTATAATTGTGGCTGTCATTGATTGCATCCACAGCTGAGCTTGGATAAAACAAAGAAACATTTGCCCAACAAGTGCATCTATGATCAGTTGGTGTTTTTTTCACCCTCCTACTGAGGGTAAAAGCTATTGGTTCGTTCCCAGATCCAAAAGGGAAGATTGCAGAGGGTGTTTCAATTTGTTGATCTCACTAGTTATCATGACTAGTTTGTTCATTAATCCCTCAGAGTCTATGCTATTTTGAACTCCCAGTCCTGTTCCCAAGATGCCAGGCACATCTCTTTTTGCCCACTTTTGGGGAAAGAGTGTTCATTTATGCAGCCATGCTGCCATCCTGCATAAGAGGTCCTCAGGAATGGTGAACAAACTAGTTGGATTGTAGAAACATTATTTTCCTTCAATTCAACTTGTCCAAGAGACCATGACAGGTTAAACAACATCTGATGTTGACCAATCACATATGGTCCAATTTCAGAAATTTGTGGGTTGCTCAGGGTGGATGGCTTGGTTGCAGGGCTAGATTTCGTGACTTTTTTTTTTTTAAACTCTCCCCAGAAATCTGAATTTCCTGTTTCGCACAAAACTCTAAATGGATCTTTTATTGCATTTTGATTTAGCCAACAATCCTGATATTTGCTTTCACAAAATAAATTTCTTCCCATTTCTAACTTATTTTTATAATATTTCTTTAGGTTTAGGTGGAGCTTCAGCAACTTTAGTCATACATCATGTTCAGTGAGGCATGGTCATATCTCGGGGGCAGCTAACTTTGGGATGGAGGTGTGAGACAGTATCACATCTGAGCTAACTTTGGGACAGATATTTGTGCCAGTGTTACATCTGAGGACAGTGATTTTGCCAACAGCAACACATCTTCTCCTATCTCCCTCGTCTGACAGATGATATACAACTTTTCAGCTAAAAAGTACCACCAAGTTCCCTCCTCTGCAAGGATTTCAACAGAGCCCGGCCACGGTGTCTGTGCTCCACCCAATGTTTCATTCCCCCCTCAGCATCTATTGTGTGGAGGAAGTCAGGCATGCTGACTGCATTCCATCCAGGGAATAGCAACCCCATTTCCCACTATAATTTCCATACTGTTATAACTGTGTCTGTAACTTTCCAGTCCACTCCATCCTCCCTTTTATCCCTCCTCAGCATGTATTATGTGCACACTGATCACAAGTTTTGTCTGTTAAAATGTAACTTTCCAGTTTTCTTTAATTTTACCCCTGGTTATTTTCCCACACAGCTGTTCTTTGATTTATCAGCTAGCTATGTGGTACCATCCAGTTCCCATTCCTGCAGGGATACAACAGAGCCTGGCCAAGGTGTCTTCTCTTCGCCTCGCCCTCTGTTTCATCCCTCCTTAGCATGTCCTTCAGGCTGCAAAGTGTGTTGCCTGGGGAACTGTCACAGAATTGATTCCAAGCATGCAAACCACATTCCACGCTGGACATAACAACTGCATTTCAGCCTAAAATTTCCTCAGTGTTATAACTTCTGTTAGAATATGAATAAAACTGTAGCATCCAAATTTTTCCCAGTTTTCTCTAACTTTCCCTCAGTCATTTTCCCACACTGTGTTTTTGCTGACCATTTAAAAAGAAAATAATTTTTGGTTTGGGTCAAACCTGGCCCAGAAACCACTCCTAAAGCCCTTTTTCTGCTCTGATCTGCTGCTTGTACCAAGTTTTATCTCATTTCTTAGTGTTTTCATCGTGGACTGTTTCCTCAGTAGGAGGTAAATTAAACATGAAGAAAATCAGAACTCAGGAATACTTACCCTATAAAAATATAACTGGACTTTTATGGCCTTCCTGAGAAACATGATCATTTTCCTGCTGGTCAATTCTGCTGCCCTCTTGTTTTTGTGATTTTTATTTTGTTATATTGCTTATGTAAGGCCTAGCATTATTTCTGCTGAAATTCCTGAATTCCACATGAAGAAAAATATGGTTTCCCATATAAAGGGGAAGGGAAATGAACACTTATACATCTATCTTTTTACAGAACAGAAGGAAAATGAATCAACTGCAGGCTTTGCTGAGTGACAGTCTTTTCAGCACAAAGTGTGTGGAAAACACAGCTATTACCAGCATAAAGGAAAGACAAGTCTGTGCATCAACCTTTGGCTTTAATGTAAGAGATCAAGAGCATCCTGGGAAGAGACAGCAGAGGTAGAAACTCTGGGAATGCAGAGCACAAAACAGTCATAAAGGCAGGGAGCACAGCGCTCTACTAAACATACTTGTTCTTTCAGCCCCAGAGCCCAGTGCCGGGGTACAGCCTGGCTGACTCGCAAGGCTGATTGCTAATTTCACATCTTTGATTTTTGGAAGAAAGATGCCATTTAAGCCCCATTTTCAAGGAGTCCTTTTTAAGCACTTTGCATTCAAGGATTCTGCCAGTAAAGCAGATGGATGTAGGGCCATTCTCTGGCACTGAGACCTGCTGGTATGGAATGTGCCGTGCCCATACTATAACCCTGAAAGAGTGGCTGTACAGGCTGCCCTTGGGGAGCTGTCCTGGGCCATTCTAACTTCACAGTCTGTGCTCTGGAACTGCCAAAAAGCAAAGTAATTGCCAAAAACAAAGTGCTTGCTGGCCCAGGTCACGACTCTACCTGGAGTGTTCTGACCATACTCAGAACTGCTCCCTGGAACCTTAAAATTGCTGGTATAGATGTAGCTTATCTGTTTTCATTATCCAGCAGCTTATAAAGAGCAGAATAACAGCACTTCTTCTCATATCCTATCATACCATATCATATGATAAAAAAGCTAATAGGCACTCCCTCTGCAGAGCCTTCCTACCCTCCAGTAGATCAACACTCCCACCCAACTTGGTGTTGCCTGTGAACCTACCGAAGGTAAACTCAATCCCCTCGCCCAGACTGTAGATAAAGACATTAAACAGAGCAGGTCCCAATGCTGAGCCCTGGGGAATGGGACTTACTAAATCTAAGGACTGGGCTTTACATTTTAAGCTAGCGTTGGACTAGCTCTATCCTAGTATTTTCTGCAGGACTACACACAGAGCTGGAGCAGGTCCAAAAGGTGCCATTGTCTTATTTATCCCCAACTATGACCAGTAATAAATTCAGGAGCCATATCATAGCTGATATATGAGCATTTTTTAATGCTATGGGAGAAAGGCAGAAAGTGTAAAGCTAGAAGATTGCAAAAAAATGCCAACACTTGCAAAATCCTGTAATGATATCCACACGTTATTTGGTCTTGCAAATAATAGTCATCCATAACTGACCACTGCTCCTAAGCAAAGGCTAATGTAATGTCTAAGTGTTTCCAGGGCTAGATTTGCAGTGAGTTTGATCTGGAGTTTATTCTTGCTGTCCTGGATGATTTCTTTGAGAAAAGAAAACAAAGTAACTTTTCTTTGCGTATTACAAGAGATTTCTGAAAATTTTTGGAAGTGTTCAGTGTTTATTCTTTAGAACATATATTACCTCATGATATAGGTATTAGTATTTTTAATTTTCAGCTAAAAATAACACAGCCTTCATATGAGCATTGCATAGTCTGAGGGGGATTTGAAGTTGGAAAAAAAGCATCTCTATTACAGCAATTCTCTATATGATTTTTATAATTTTTAAAAATTATTTATTTATTTCCTTGTGTTATTACAGCAGACTACTTTAGAGAGAAAGGTAGCTGAATCAGAAGAAAACTTGGACTTCATCAACTTCAGGACTGCTCATGAGGAAATAAAGCTTAGAAGTTTGAAACATTATCCAATTTAAACAACAAACCACTGCTTTACAACTTTCCAGCTTCTGAGTTTTTTTCAGGGCTTTTTTCAAGAACACTTGAGGGCTCACTGTTCATAAAAGGACAACTCTATGCATCTAAATTTCTTAACTGAATTGAAAGTGATGTCTTCAATATTTGGTTTAAGATAGTCTGCTTAATCTTTCTAACATTGCCTTTTAGCCTGTTTCCAGATAAGATAATTATTAATCTCACTAAGCAAAGTAAGTTCTCTAATGGCATTACAGTGATGCAGGGCACCACAGGGATGAAGGAAATTGTTACATTAACACATTTTCAGACTGCCCAGTACATCTTCGAATATTACAAATAAAATATATTTTTAACATGTCAATTTGCATTGCCACTGACTGCTACAGAAAGTTATTTATTTTAAAATGCAGTAGATTGCAAAGTTCTGTGAGGATGAGGAAGAAGAGACAATGTCAGTACCGGGACTGAATCAGACCGTGTGTACTACAGGACATCAAAGAAGGGCATTCTCAAGAACAACAGGCTTCATGATCTTTTCATCTGCAGAAGTAAAGAAATTATTAGTTCCTTGAGTCACATGAGAACAAATGAATTTTTAGCTATACTTGATTCTAAATTTGTTTAGTTTCAAAGAAAAGTTTAAAAGCCTGACTCAAAAAATCTCATTATTAATATGAAAAAAATCCACAGAAAAAATCCTACACACAGACACACATATGATTTATCATTTTTAAATAGCCTGAAGTGTCAGTTTTATTCCCTGACAACTCTGTGACCAGGACACAGAGAAAGGCATGATCTGATCCTTCTCTTTCTGGGGCAAACAGCAAAGCTCAAGGAGATGTCATCAGGCTTTTACAGCCTGAATGATTCTGTGATTCTAAACCATCAGGTAGGAATGCACGGGGCTGATGGACATGAACCAGCGAGCTCTGAACGCTGCTGTCTCCCGGCAACAGAGCCTAGGGCGTCTATGGCATAAGGGCTCTCACAGCTCCCGTGCCCCGAATACCAGCGGAGTAAATCGAGTCTGAGACAGAGTTCCGAAATCAGAGCAGTCGCTCCTGCTCTGCTCGAGCACACACCATGACACTCCTCCCGCCCAGCACGGGCATCAGGCCAAACTCCCCTGGGTGCTGGGGGAGCGGTGGATCTCTGCCGGGCTTTCTGTCTCAATCCGTGCAGTAATCCAGGTCAGTGAGTAGAAACAATAGTGAGTTGTACTAATAGTTCTGACTCTGCTCATGTCTTTCCCTCCAAAGTAAAACACAACCTCGACCCGGTCCACCCCTTGACCCGCAGGGGAGTAGCTGATGGCAAGGGCAGAGCTCACAGAGGAGGAACCGGGATCGGACTCTGCTCCCGAGGGCAGGTTGGGTTTGTTCCGGTGCAGAGATTCTACTTCCTTATTCACAGGAAAAATGTGAGTAACAAATTGTGCTCGGGAGCCATATAACTTCTTAGTTATTGCTGGGGGCCATTGCTGGCAGATCTGACAGTTTGAAGTTGTTACACTTGGTTGGAAACAGGTTTCAGTTTCTGCGTTTTTCTGTGTATTTGAGAGCAACGAAGATACTCAGATCCTCTTCTTCTTGTTTCTTTTTTTTTTTTTACATTTTTGTGGGCCTGATTCTGTCAACAAAGGCAACGATTTATAAAAATGCAAGTTAGTGAACTCTGCTGGAAGAAGGAAAAAAGCTTCTTTCACATCTTATTTTTAACTGAAAAAAATTTGGACACAATTAAAAGAGCAGAAGTATCTCTTACAGGGTGGTATCAGGTGAGCTTCCCACTGAATTTTTGAGCTGATACAGACAAATTTTGTGGGACTGGATTAAATGGTTCAGCTGACAATAGTGAATAGACAGCCAGCCTCAGAAAGAAAAGCCTTTAAATTACATTGTATTGAAATAATTGTGAGTGTTTATTCACTGTAAAATAGCCGTAGAGCACCACCCCGTGGGGATTGACATTCCCCGGGTTTCAAGTTGTTTGTCATTCTGCATTTGCAGTCTTACCACAGACAATTAGGTACGCACTTAGCTTTTCCTGTACAGATATCATCATGCAAGTGATTTTTACAGAGGGCAAGGTGGTCTGTCACACAGTGCTGGTTGCTTGAAGAGGCTCTGGCCAGCAGCCCACCCTGTGCTGCATTCAGGAAAGTACCAGCTCTCAGGAAGTAACACAGTTATTCCCATTGTGATTCCCTCTTTTCTCATCTCCTTTCACCCAGCACCAGGGAGCAGAGGGGAGCCTCTTGCAGATTTAATTTTGCCAGGCAGGTGGAGGCTTGACATCGCAGCCCATCTCAACAGCTGCTGGTGCCAAAAGGAACCCAGGAACAGTGACTGAGGAGTCACCTGAAAGACTCCTGCAGCAGTGGCACCCTCTACCAGAGCAAATCAGGCACACTGGAATCAAATGCTGAGGCAAGGGAAATAAATAGGAATTTTTAAAATCTTTTGTCATCTTTCATCACTGAGGTTTTCTCACTGCACGTAAGTGTGCCTGTATTCATGCCAGTTTTATTTCAGTTTGGGTTTGTGGGTTGTTTTCCTTTTTTTCCTAGAGAAAATGTTTGCAGCCTATTTTGATTGCCCAGGAGGCCCAGAAAATCTCTATATGAAAGAAGTGATGAAACCAAGTCCAGGACAAGGAGAAGTTCTTGTGAAGGTCTCTGCCAGTGCTCTGAATAGGGCAGATTTACTCCAGGTATGTATATGTTAAGCAGATTTATGCAGCTGAAAATAACACTGATTTTTCAAGCCCCTATCTGAGGTCTTGACAGATCAGAAGAGTTAAAAGAGGTTGGGAGTCGGGGGCATTTGGATGGGAGATTTCATAGGGGCAAAAGAAGAGATGTCAGTTGATTCAGCAGATAAATGTTTTTATCTGGGTCACTCCAGTGCTGGGCTGGTGTGGAAAGGCAGCTGCCTTTCAAGAAAACATGTAAAACCAGAGCTCTGGTCTTTCTAGATGCTTAGACACTTCTCTGGACATTTGAGATGAACAGGAAATGTTTCACTGGCCCAGTCCCAGTGGGAGAAAATCACATTCAAATTATTAAGTTTGATCTGCAAGCCATGCTCTGCAACTGGGGACCATAGTACCTCCTCAGTGGAGACTGGCCTGGAAAAAGGAGACTCACAAAAAATGAATTTATTCTTATTTTAAGAACATACTTAGGAAACAAGAAGTGTTTACAGAGGAGAGAAGATCCTCAAATTACTGGAACATTTGCACAGTGCAAAATCAGGATTAAATAGATAGGAATTTAGGTTAGAGACATACGAATGGAATATTGCAATTCATTACCGTCAATGAGGTGTTGCCCTCTCTTTTCTTTTATTTTAGAGGAGAGGGAAGTATCCTCCCCCGGAAGGAGCAAGTGATATTTTAGGCTTAGAAGCAGCTGGGAGTGTGGCTGGGCTGGGCCCTGGCTGCAGGGGCCGGTGGAAGATCGGCGATGCAGTGATGGCTCTGCTCTCCGGAGGAGGTCAGGCACAGTACGTTACAGTTCCTGAGGGCCACCTGATGCCAATCCCCAAAGATATGACTTTTATCCAGGCTGCAGCCATTCCCGAAGCCTGGTTAACAGCATTTCAGCTGCTGCATTTTGTAGGTGAGAGGTGTATTTGCCCATCTATCCCAAAACAGCTGATATTCCTTTCTGTTATGAAATCCTTTCTTTGTTGCCTCCATCTGAATGCTGTTTGCCTTTCCTCTGTCACTTCATTCCCGTGGGACAGAATTTGGTATGCCAGACACAAATCCTGAAATCTTGACCACCTCTCCCCACTCATAACTTACCCTGTTGATTGCATATTTACAAGGAAGGATATGGAAAGATGCTCAGTTTTCTTTTCATTTATATTTCTCAGCTTGAATCACTGAATGGTTTGGATTGGAGGAGACCTTAAAGATCATCTAGTGCAATCCCCCTGCCATGGGCAGGGACACCTTTCATTAAGTCTAAACCCTCAAATAACTTCCATGTTCTCCAAACAGCTGAAAAGTCATCCTATTTCTAAGGATTTGACTTCACTTGCAAGCATGCCCATATAATGAACTTTCTCACTAATTGCCTTTGGACCTACAATAGGCAACATCTCCTTGTACCTTGTTTCACAGAGACATTCATTGTAAGTAAAATCCCCTCTGAGCTGATTCAAAACAGTCAGAAGCTCACACTCTTCACTTTGAAAATACACTGCCAAGGCACTACAGTAGCACTTGCCAGGGTTTTCCTCAGGTGAGAAATATCCTTCTTCTACCTTCTTCAGCAGTAGCACCTAAAAGTTCCAGTAAAGAACAGAAGTTCCAAACAAATAACTTTCCTGTAGACTTGCTTCAAGCAGTGTTGTTTCCTGGGCATCACTTCCAGATCACTTTAAATTAATGCATTAGAGCAACTGATAGATAATTGGTAGAACTGGTCCTTAACATTACCCAGCACTTTGGATGTTTCTCCATTGTTGAGTGCCTGATTTTCAGTATGAATATCGTCCAGCAGTGTTTTTACTGGTGGAATAAAAAGGTTGATTGCACTCACTTAAGCATCTCGGTCACAGATGCCCAGAACTGGACAGGGCCAAGATAAAGTCACTCCACTGAAACTGGTAAAATGAAGTTCTGTCAGCACACTGTGACCTCTGTTAGTCCTGGGTTTGTTTCTCTTATGAAAGATATGAAGATGTAAACAAAGCCCACAAGGGCATCTCTTTCAACCCCCTCTTCAGTATTTTCCATGCTGTTCATGTTTTAATCCAAAGGTGATGCTCAAAGGGTGACCACTCTTCCCTTATGTCCTCCTTCAGGTAAAATACAGGAGGGTGAGACAGTGCTGATCCATGCTGGAGCCAGCGGAGTTGGCATGGCAGCCATTCAGCTGGTGAGACTGGCAAAAGCAATTCCCATCGTGACAGCAGGAACTGAAGAGAAACTGAAAGCAACAGCAAAGGCCGGAGCAGCTGCAGGGTTCAACTACAAGAATGAAGATTTTAGTGAAAAAGTCTTGGAGTTCACCCAAGGTAAGAACCTCTCTGTGAAAGAGCCTGTGACAGCTGGGGAGGAGTTTGTACCTCCCAGCATGTGCACATACACTCAGTTTCAGCTGTCGCCTTAGTCGGTGAGGGAGCAGACAGTAGTGACCCTGTCAGCACAACCTGACACACTGTTCAGCTCAGAATGTGCCTTTCCTTAGTTTAATTGTGCTGTTTTCTGCATGGGCTCTCTTTATCTGTGTTCATTTGGGGCGTAAATATGGTGCCGCCTTATTGTTCCCTCCACAAAGAACTGTGGGACCAAGTCCTCACACTTGTCTTTGTAAGAATCACCATGGAATCACAGAAGGATTTAGGTTGGAAGGAACCTTAAAGATCATCTTGTTCCAAGCCCCTGCCATGGGCAGGGACACCTTCCACTAGACCAGGGTGCTCCCAAGCCCCATCCAACCTGGCCTTGAGCACTTCCAGGGGTAGGGTATCTACAGCTTCTCTGGGCAACCTGTGCCAGTGCCTCACCATGCTGGGTTCTCACACTGTTAGAAAATTTTTTTGGGGCCCAATTCTATAATTCCTTACAAATCATTGTGACAATTCCTAATTTCAGTAGAAAGAATGAAATGAGAATTGCAGGGTTGATTCTGTATCTATAAAGAACAAGGTTGTAGTTTTCCCTGAGATTATCCCAGCCTTTAATGCAGCTCAACTACATTGCTGAAATCTCTCCTGATTCTACTTAAGGTTCTGGAGTGGATATTATTTTAGATTGTGTTGGTGGCTCATACTGGGAGAAGAATCTCAACTGTCTGAGTACTGATGGCCGGTGGATTATTTATGGACTACTGAGTGGAGGTGAAGTCCATGGGGATTTGCTAGCAAGGCTGCTCTCCAAAAGAGCCAGCATCCACACGAGTCTATTACGGTCACGAGACAAGGAGGCAAGTAATGGCTATCAACAGTCTGTGCAGTTTGACTGTAAAACTGATGATAGTTTTCTTTTAAAACTAGTGTTAAACACCCTCTTGCAAAAAAAAAAGTCCCACTTGAACTGTCATTACATACTTTGAAAAATTAAGTTATAATTAAGTTATAATGTCCCCTTTCTATTTTTATCAAATTCCTCCCTGCATCAGAGGAATGATACCCAGGACTTCTGAATGTTATTTCACCAAGTACCATAATTTAAAGATTTGGCCTAAAAAAGAACAGAACTTGAGTGATCAGGCAATTTGATCGAGTCTGAGGAGAAGTAAATAAAAACTTCTATTAGGTAATTTTTCGAAGTAAAAAGCAAGGCCATTTGGATGCCCAATTACCAAGAAGAAAATGTGGAAAATTCTCAGCTTTGACAATAAAAGACAGGCAGTGCAGAGCCCTAAGGTAGATGGTTTAAAACATACATATATATATATATATATATATATATGTATATTCTCAAAAACTATCAGTTTGAATTTAAATGGTTCTGCACTGAGCTTACACCACCTGTTTTGGAGAATTTCATTCAATTAAAATGTAATAAATCTAAAAGTTTTCTTCTTGTTTGTAATTTAAACCAGTCATATGTTTATTATGTCCATTTCACCGTGACAGTGCCAGGAAGTGTCTCCTTGCGGGCTGGGCACACTTTGTACGCCGTGCTTAGAGACACCTCAGTGAGTGAAATGGCTGGAAATAACCTTCAAAACGCTCTTTTTCCGCAGTATAAGGAGCGGCTGGTGAGAGCCTTCACAGAGGACGCGCTGCCCTATTTTTCCGGAGGGGCTTCCCCGCGTCTCCAGCCGCTCGTGGACAGCGTTTACCCCCTGCACAAGATCGCAGAGGCACACAGGGTTATGGAGGAAAACAAGAACACCGGCAAAATCGTCATCGAAGTGCCCGTTTGCTTCAAGAAAGGGCCCCTGCTGTAGCTGTGCTGTGTGACAGGGTCACCGCGGGTGTTGGACTGCAGAGGTCCTGCCGCTTTCTGCTCCAAACCGGGATCGCTTATTGTGGGCGGTGAGGAGGGGCAGAGGATTACGAGAGGCGTTTATTGAAAAGGTGGCGAGGAGGGGTAAAGGATAACGGGAGGCGTTTATTAAAAAGAGGTTCGTGTTGCAGTTCTGTTGCCGTGAATTGAGGGCGGACGCGGCGCGGGGACCTCCGCTCTCTCAGGGCCGAGGGCGGGGCCGGGGCTGAGCGGTGCACGCCGGGACAGCTCCGGTCCGTGCGGGGAGCGCGGTGCACGCCGGGACAGCTCCGGTCCGTGAGGGGGGCGCGGTGCACGCCGGGACACATCCGGTCCGTGAGGGGAGCGCGGTGCATGCCGGGACACATCCGGTCCGTGAGGGGAGCGCGGTGCACGCCGGGACACATCCGGTCCGTGAGGGGAGCGCGGTGCACGCCGGGACACATCCGGTCCGTGAGGGGAGCGCGGTGCACGCCGGGACACATCCGGTCCGTGAAGGGAGCGCGGTGCACGCCGGGACAGCTCCGGTCCGTGAGGGGAGCGCGGTGCACGCCGGGATAGATCCGGGTCTCCCGCCCAGCGCTCACTATCCCGGCTGGTGTTCCTGTTCCCGGGCTCCTTCCCCGCCGCTGTTCCTGCCCCAGGCCAAGGCCCCCGCTTTCAGCCCGCAGCCATGGCGATGCAAGCGGCCAAACGAGCCAACGTGAGTGCGCTGCGCTGCCCCGTCCCGCCCGTGCCGGGCTGCGGCCCCGCTCCTGGGGAAGGGAGCCCATCCCGCTCCAGGCATCCCGCTGGTCTGACGGGAACGCGGCAGGAGGGTGGGACAGGGTGATCTTTAAGGCCCCTTCCAACCCCGTTTCATGGTTTAGCCCGTAAGGTGCCGAGTTTAAGGTTTGTGGTACGTGCCCCGGGTCTAACAATCCCCGTGTCCTTTCTCTCTCAGATCCGGCTCCCCCCGGAGGTGAACCGGATCCTGTACATCAGGAACCTGCCGTACAAGATCACGGCCGAGGAGATGTACGACATCTTCGGGAAGTACGGCCCCATCCGGCAGATCAGAGTGTAAGTGTTTTGTTTTCCTTTGGGACGTGAAGGGCTCCACGTGCTCCAGTGCCCGTGTTCTCACCTCAGGGGCTGACAGCTGGGATCCACAGCTGGAAAGGCTCAGTGCCCTGAGTGCCAGAGAGGGATGTGATGATGCTCTTAAGTGAATTTGTTAGAAAATTATACTGCTGGGAAGCAGGAGGGAAGAAGCTTAAATTTGATGTGAATTTGGGGAAGTTGGTAAAATATGAGACTTGTTCTCTTGAGTCTCAAATACAGCTGAGCTCATACCTTCACTGGAGCTAAAAATAAGAAAGGCAGAAGCTGAACAGTTTTCCTGTTTAATGAATATGAGATAATTAATGGAAAAACAGATGTTGATGTTGCTGCTGGACCTGTGGACTAGAAACAAACACCAGCAGCAACCCCTATGGGTCAGAGACAGAGTGTCCTCGACCACACAGGGTCTGGATAGTGGGGATGTGACTGTGACTTTGCTTATAAATGCCTGGAGATTGTACATGTCTGCAGCAGCTCTGAGGTTCTTCTCACTGCTGGTTCAAATACTGAAGACATGAGCGCTGGTGTTACCTGTTATCCTGAGAACTGTCTGAGTCATCAGAATGCTTTGGGTTGGAAGGGACCTTACGGATCATGATGTTCCAACAATCCTCATGCCATGGGCAGGGACACCTTCCACCGCACCAGGGTGCTCCAAGCCCCATCCAACCTGGATGCTGTGGATTAAGCCATCATTCCATCTGGGTGGTATCATGATCCACTAAATTTCTGGCAGAAAGAGTTGTCTGAAGCTGGAATTCAGGGAGAGCTTTTGAGGACTGTAGTAAGCCTGGTTGGAGTATGGACACTCATACAAAAGGATTTTTTTTTTTTTTTTTGCTCCTTCTAAAAGAATATTTAGGAAGGGGAGGAAACAGAACTTGGTTTTCCTAATACAGTGTGAGACAGATTTCAGTAGATGCACACATAGAAAGGAAATGTAGTTTGTATTTGATGTGGGGTGGCTTTATTGTACTGCTTTTATCAATGGTGGCAAAATAGCCTGCAGCACCTCCTGAGTTCTTGATTAAGCTGCTGATCAGATTAGAGCAGAACATACCCTTGTCATTTATATGGCTTTCTGTTTCCCAGTTCTCTGAGACTGGGATGGGAAATTAATGTTTGTTTTGACTGTGTAGGATGTAAATACCTAAATTGTCAATGCTGCTTAAACAGACCAAGTGTAACAACCTAAAATAGAAGTGCTCATTTCAGAGCTGTAGTGATTAAAATCATAAAATGGTTTGGGTTGGAAGGGACCTTAAAGACCATCTAGTTCTAGCACCCTGCCATGGGCATCTTCACTAGACCAGGTTGCTCAGGGCCCCATCCAAGCTGGCCTTCCAGGGGTGGCACATCCACAGCTTCTCTGGTAACCTGTCTGATTGTTAATTGTATAGAGCAAAGTCAGTTTTACAGGCAGAGTTGCCCTCAGCAGACCAGGAGGGGGAGCACGTGCTGGTGGTGCTGTGCTGGGACATGCAGCTGGACAGACCCTTCTCCTACAGGGAAGCACAGCAGACATGGCTGTGAAATGGCTGAAGGAACAAGGGGAAGTGTAAACACTGCTGGGCTAAACAGGTGGAGTTCTTTGCTAATGAGCATAAAGGACAGCCAGTACTTAAGGTTTCTGAAAACATGTAGGCTAGAACAGTGTGACAGTGGGACATAAGGAATTGGGATGTATCGGGAGCTTTCCATCAGAGTGACGCACTGACAGGTGTGTCCAGCAGTTTGTTCAGAACTACTAATTCACGTTGTTTCCCACAGAAATTCCAACATCATCACGAGACAAGGCTTAAGGTCGATCCCCCTTTGTAATGGCTTTTGTGCCTTGTGCAGTTTTTATCCCATTCTCCACCTTTGTACACATCCCAGGGTGGATATGTGACATGCCATTTGTCCTTGGGAGTTCTCAGAAGCACCTTGGAGACAGTTGTTCTGATTATTAAGTCTCTATAACTGTATTTTAGTTGAAACCTTTGGGATCTGTAAACTCTGTGGTCCCTCTGGGCTCATTAGTGTCTCATCCCTCGGGCGAAGGGAGTGGAATTGGTGCTCTACTGGGTGACGGCTGTGGCTCTGCAGTGGGCTTTCACCAGCAGGGCTGTTCTGACTCCTAAATTGACTTCATGATGTGCCAGGAGCCCTTTTCCACCCTAGGGACACATCTGATCCAGACAGCCACTGACAGCCAGGTCTTGTTATATTAAATAAAACAAGCTAATTGCTGTAATAAAGACTTAAATCATTTCCAGATACATGGCAACCCTGACAAAAGGTTCTGATAGTTGTTGTGGGGAGGTGCATTTTCCTTAAGGAGCAAAATAGAGCACACTCTCCTGTTGTCTCTGGCTCTGAACTGTTTGGTGTGAAAAGCAGGGATGTAGTTTAATATCTAGAAAAAATAAAAAATTGTTTTTTTAGTGAAGTCGCATTAGTTCATCTAATCTCAGTCACTGTGAAATAAATAAACGTTAGACTAATAAAACTATTTCTTGTTCATTTTATTCAATGCTAAAACTGATGTTGCTCTGCAGTGGGAACACCCCTGAGACCAGAGGAACAGCCTATGTGGTGTACGAGGACATCTTCGATGCCAAGAACGCCTGTGATCACCTGTCAGGGTTCAACGTCTGCAACAGATACCTCGTGGTTCTGTATTACAATGCAAACAGGGTATGTGCACCAGGCAGGTTTAAGTTACCTGTGAACAGAGCCAGCACAAAAAAACAAGCCCAAAATCAGTTTGTAAAGACAGTTGCTTGGGTGTTCTTAAGAAATAAACTCCAACTGTTGGAGGGAGTGGATTGGACACATGGTCAAGGTTTCATCTTTACATGGGGATTTGTGTGCCAAACAAAGTACCTTTGGACCAAGGGTGTGAAAGAAGTGTTTCTGGTGCAAGTAGTCTGGAGAAGAGGAAGCAGGGGCCTCACACCAGCACAGCTGCAGCAGGATGTGAGATCTTGTTTATGGGTAAAAAGTCTCCAGTTCTGATGTCCTGCCCGTCACTGACGGTGTCCGAGGCCCTGTGATGTTCTCCAAGGGCAGGAATCAAACAGAGCCTTGTGTGTGATGGTGATGGATTTCATAGTGATGTTGGTTGCAGTTACTGGGAAAGAACATGTCCTAAGATGAGAGATTCTTTGTCATCTCATATCTTTTGTTTTCCTAATTACAGGCATTCCAAAAGATGGACACAAAGAAGAAAGAGGAACAGCTTAAGCTTCTCAAGGAAAAATACGGAATTAACACAGACCCACCGAAATAAACTGATCTTTTTTGGAAAACTGTTTTCAAGCCCTGCCATCAAGTTCTTAACCTAAAGACAGGAATTCTCAACAAAGTGTAACTTTTTCTCTTACAAGTTTGATAAGCTGCAATATGAATCTTTAGATCTTCACATTAGAATTAAATAAATGTAAAACATGGGAAGATCTGCTTTAAGATTAAATCTCCCAAGTGGACATGGGCTCTCCAAGCTGTGAGGGTGACCTGGCAAAAGCTGCATTGACCTGTTTCTAGCAGGAGCTTTAAGAAGGGACTGAGCAGGTTCTGTTTTTGACTGAACAAAGCAAGCCTATGTTTATAGCAAAGTTTCTTTCACAAACTGTAGAAGATAAATGGCCTTTTAAAAGTATCCAGCTGATAAGCTGACTCCAGTCAAATCTTGTTCTAGCAGTGGTGCCAACACTGACCAGGTGCAGTGAAACAACCCTGCTCTCACAGTGCTGTGCTGCTGGGCTGAGCTAAGGCTGTACAAGGTCTTTGTTGTGTGTACCAGGTTTGTACTGAGGACTCCATGTGAATTAGAGAACACTCGACCAAAATGAGACAGTAGAGGAAGGTTTTGATTTTGGTACCCGTACTGTGATTGTTTTCTGTCTGATGTGTTTGAACCGTAACACATTTTCTGTACATAAATTTTTAGGTGTAGCACCTGGTGGAGGCAAAACCAAATTTACATTTTTTGTAGATTTTTTTTCTTCAGCACTCATGTCCTGTGTATAAAAATGAATGTGATGCAGAGTGTGCATAACCAGTGTCTTTTGGAAGTGGGAAAGAACAACCTCCACCTCTGTTCTGAGCCAACTGGGAGTTGTGTGAACAGTGGTAGTATCCTGC